TATATATATATATATATATATATATATATATATATGATTAATGTCGGTCATTTCAAAATTAATTCAATTAAAATAAATTATAATTAAATTTAAAACAAACCCACAATTTTATTATCGAGTAATATATAATCATAACGTGTCAACATGGAATGAAACGTGTCTTGTTGTATACCTGTGTATCACAAAAAATTTAGGTATGACTTAAATATACGATGGCCAAATTAGTTGATATAAATGCATGATGATAAAAGTCAGCCCCAGTGACAATCAGGGATGGCAACGCCCGGGCGGGTACCGGTTTCATGATACTTGTTTCTATCTTCGTGAGCTAAACTCATCATCGTCTTTGTACTTGTATCTGTCGGGTATGTAATTTTCATTCTCATTTCCGTCTCTATCAGGTATCGGATATACCTGTACTTATACTCGTACTCGTCAAATTTTTTATTTTTTATTTTTTATAAAAAATATAATATTTTTAAATTATTTTTTAATTATATTATAATTATAATTATGTTATTTCTTTATCTCATATTATAATAAATAATCACACATAAAAAAATATTAAAATTTTTAATATAATTAAATTAAAAGTGAGTATTAAATTAAAAATGAGAACGGGAACGGGTACGGGGCGGGTAAATACATACTTGTACCCATACCCAATTTAATATATTGGGTTTTAGCTGTACCCGTATCCGTACCCGGGCAAATCGGGTATTCCTCGTCAAAGTCGAGATGGGTTGAGTATTACCCACAACTACGAATATATTTGCCATCCCTAGTGACAACTATTTATACATGCTGTGGGCGATATTGTTATACACATCCAAAAGAAAAAATGGAAACCAAGAATGTAACGAATACGAACTGTGAAAGTGATGCAGCAATGATAAAGCCTCTGGATTCCGAAGAATTCAAGAGGCAAGGCTACATGATGATTGATTTTCTTGCTGATTACATTGGGAACATTGGCAAGTATCCAGTTTTAAGTAAGGCAGAACCTGGTTATCTCAGAAAAAGGTTACCAGCTTGTGCCCCACATGGTCCTGAACCCATTGAATCCATACTTGAAGATGTGCAAGACCATATCATCCCTGGCATCACACATTGGCAAAGTCCTAACTACTATGGGTACTTTCCCAGCAGTGGTAGCATAGCCGGGTTTATGGGTGAGATGCTCAGCACTGGCTTCAATGTGGTTGGATTCAATTGGATGTCATCACCTTCTGCCACTGAGCTTGAAAACATAGTTATGGATTGGCTTGGACAAGAGTTAAGGCTCCCCAAGACCTTTCTTTTCTCAGGTGAAGGTGGTGGGGTTCTGTTAGGGACTACTTGTGAGGCCATTTTGTGCACTTTGGTGGCTGCAAGAGAGGGAAAGCTTTCCCAATTTGGGAAGGAAAACATAGGGAAGCTTGTTGTGTATGGTTCTGACCAAACACATAGTGCTCTTCAGAAGGCAGCACAAATTGCTGGGATCCCATCGGAAAATTTCAGGGTCATCAAAACCAAGAGGTCAAATTTGTTTGCTTTGACTCCTGATTCACTTCTCTCCACCATTCTTTTGGATGTGGAAAAAGGGTTGATTCCTTGCTTCCTATGTGCCACTGTTGGCACCACTGCTATTGCCACAATTGATCCTATAGGGCCATTGTGTAATGTGGCCAAGGAATATGGTATTTGGGTCCATGTTGATGCTGCTTATGCTGGATCAGCTTGCATTTGCCCTGAGTTTAGGTATTGCATAGATGGAGTTGAAGAGGCTAATTCTTTTAGTCTCAATGCTCATAAATGGTTTTTGACTAACTTAGCATGTTGTTGCCTTTGGGTGAAAGACCGCATTGCCCTCACAAAATCCTTGACAGTTAATCCTCAATTTTTGAGGAACAAAGTGTCTGAGTCAAAGCAAGTGGTGGACTACAAGGATTGGCAGATACCCTTGAGTAGGAAATTCAATGCCCTCAAACTATGGCTTGTTCTTAGAAGCTATGGTGTTGAGAACCTTAGGAACTTCCTGAGGAATCATGTGAAAATGGCCCAAACTTTTGAAGGGCTAGTGAGGTTGGATAAGAGATTTGAGATTGTTGTGCCACCAAAATTCTCTTTGGTTTGCTTTAGGATTGCGCCATCAGCAATTATTAATGGGGTGTCCAATGATACCAACGAATGTTGTAATGGGAAACTAATATATGATGAATATAGGGTGAATGAAGTGAATCGTAAATTGCTTGATTCAATTAATAGTTCTGGCGACGCATTCATGACCCATGGTGAAGTTGAAGGATCTTTTGTGATTAGATGTGTTATTGGTGCAACCTTGACAGAGGAACACCATGTTATTATGACATGGAAGTTGGTGCAGGAGCATGCTAATTCTATTTTAGGTAACTTCTAAAACAATTGTACTTCCATAAAGTTATTTCCTTATTGATGCCAAGATTATTTCATTGAAGTATAATATATTTTATTTTGACAGGTCAGGGAAGGAAGATAATGAGAGAAGACCATTGAAGTCATTAATAACAGAGAATCAAGATCATAAAGTTGTTACAAGGCATGAATGTTGGAAATTATTAGTTCAAGGCATGAATGTTGGAAATTATTATGAAGAAGTGTTAAGTTACTTGAAAACAAAATATTTTATCTATAGAAATTACTTTGTACACAAGACCCTATATATCCACCACCCATTAAAGTATTGAACGAGTTTTATAAAGTTTTCGATCACTTTTGCTTAGAAATTTCTATCACCATTTCAATTTTTGCATTTCAATTTCATCATTGTTGTTTGTTTTATTTTATTTTAATTCGTTCTCTTAGACATTATGCTTTAACATAATATTGACTTGAGAGATTATTATTTTAGAATTTTTTAGTTGACTTTATTGTCAATATTCCAACTAACTTATTTATGATTATTTCGACATGTATTGTGTAAAGTTCGACTCTACCATATATAAATCAACCATTTTTAGGCTAAAGTTATACTTAAACCGACTTAACTACACTAAAATTGACTTAATCACACTTAAGTTAGATATTCCATATGTAACGTATTATTCATATATTAGCAAGGGATTTATACATGTACTCGAAGATAGTTTCAAGAAATAATTTGATAACTGAGAAAATAGTTACAGACGATTCAAATAGGATGTATACGTGGCATAAAACGGAACGATCATTAAGTGTAGGGTCTTTACATAAATTGATTGCCTTACAAATACAAACACCTTCGAAAACAAATTTCGACTATCAAATAGAGAGGGATAAAATGACCCAAAAAAGGGAGTAACTCACGAAATACGGAACAGTTAGATATCATATAGGATCCACATAGTAACTACCTTTTGAAAACAATCTCTAAAGATTGCAAAGAGAATTATTTAATAGGTCGTAAGGAAGTTACGCGAAGTAAAAAATGGTTTAAGGAGGTTACCCACGTCACGTAGTGCAAGACGGTTATATACCACACATCGAACTAATGCAAAATAACCACCCCCTAATTTCTATAAATAAATGAGTAGGCCCATTCAAAAGGATCAGAAATCCAATACTTACACGCTCGTATGCACTCATTGTCTGCACCCATGACTTCCGTACACCTAGAATAACTTGTTCTAGTACAGTTCATCGTTTCCGTGTCATATTCTGATCTTTATGTTATGCAATTCATGATTCTCTTGAAGTGAAGGATATGATTATTGTAATTAATATATATGTTATTCATTCGATCTACTTAAATGTTTATATACACGAATCTTGTTTGGTTGTGACTATTAAAAAATGTCTAGAGATCTTTGCATGTTAAATCACCTAAAATTGAGTTTTAACTAGTCTAATTAGTTAATCCCATATATTTGAGTTTCACTTTAGAAAACATGTCTTTATGTAATTGACGAATATGGAAAACCTTCATACCAAACATGCCTAAATTAAAAACTTTTATTAATTTGAATAAAAAGGACTCATAAAAAAAATTCCAACAAACATCATCATAACAAACGATCCACGTAAAATAACAACTTTTTCTTTTACCTCACTTTCTTATAACTATATAGTCTCATATCATAGTATATTTACGTTGTTCACTGATTCATATATTGTTACTCTACTAAATTTCTTAATATTTTAAGTGATAATCATAGTCAACCATCAAAAGTGTTGGGGTGGCGAAAATCCACTTTAGCTGCTAAAATTTCTGGATCCTCATTAATTGATTGCTCGCTAAAGCAGGGCACATTACATACATGCAATTGGTGAATGAATTATTATGGATAGAGATTTAGCGTGCGTCTCGAAGCCATAAAATTTTCTAACCAAATTAATACATAGAGCTGTCAAAATGGGCTCAGCCTGGTGAGCCAACCTAGCCCACCACGGGTTCGAGTCGGGTTGGGCCAAAAATAATTTGAAAATTTTAATATAAGCCAATTTTGAACCTGGCTCACTAACAACCCGGCTCACCCGGGTTGAACCCGTAGTAGCCGGGCTGACCCACCAACCCATTAAAAAAAAAACTTATGCTTTAGCTTTCATTTTATTGGGCTTGATTGCTCAAATGAGTATTAGGATTTGAATTAAAAATTTAAATTATTAGGTCCAAAAGAGTATTTGAGATGATTTTGAATTATATTTATTTACATGAGATTATTTAGATTTTATTTGATTATATTTAGAATTATCATTTAATTATGATTTTGGGCTTTAGTTGTATATTAAAAAAAATTACATTTTTTTTAAATTAGATGAACCAACCCGTTTAACCCACCAACCCGTGGTGGGCCGGGCCGGTTACCCGTTTTGACATCTTTGTTAATACAGAACTCCATTTGGCATAACTTCATAAATGCAATTGGGGATGCAAAAAGTGAGAACAGGTACACCAAGAATTCCGCTGGCGAATCCTATGTGTTTCTTTTTCACTTATTGCATCTATACCATGAAACAATGGTGTATTTCTAATTTTCGATAAGTCTAAAATGCCATCTTTTCATTTCTTTATTAGATTCAACCTCTTATGAATGCACTTGTTTCATTTCCAGCTACACGAAAAATTTAATACCGTCCAAAAAAAAGTCAGATTTTCTCACCGATGCATGTTCAAAACTCATTTAAGAACCCTAAAGTCTAAAAAGAATAGCTTTTAGCTAGTTCGAATATATAGAAACCAAAACTGTTTAAAACTTCGGAAAAAGTATATGATATTTGGATATTGACTCCACAATTTGGCTTCGAAAACCATTTTTTACCATAAGTTTTTTAATATCTGTTTCATTAAAAAAAATAAAATAAAATTGGTAACTACTCTTTATTCCGAAACTTAATTTGAAATTTTTTGAGTTTCATGTCTCATCACAATTCCAATGGTGATAGTTGCATTGAAATGAAGCAACAAAAACTTGTATTAGGCGCATATTGTAAATGTTGTAACCTCTCATTTTTTAAAAGTAAATAATAAATAGATTAAAATAATTAGAATATTATAAGAGAAATATTATTAATAAAATAAAAGGGGAGAGGTGAATCAAAAGATTTTGGACTGGATTCTGGGCTCAACTTAGAGACTGATTCAAAAGAAGAAAATAAAGAGAGGATTAGGTCATTACGGACCTTCTAAAAAATCTAAAGCACTTACAAGAGAAAACTTAGAGGACACATTGATTAGCAATAGGAGCTATCGGAGTAGCATTATTATGCAAAAATTATCATTCCAAGTAGGAGGGATGTGAGATTATCAAATCTTTTAGGTATATATGAGGAATAAGGACAGAGGGAGTGAACCCTAAGCCCTATAGATTGTATGTTCAACTCATATTATTGTGTATGTATATAATTGGGAACTTATTGTTACCCTATTTATGATTTTTGTATGATGTTCTGATCAATCTATTTAAATGATGAGTCTGTATATTTCAAAGGATAAAGTCATTCATATAAGAAATTGGGGGTTGCATTGAGAGTGGATGAATCTTGATAATTTAATGTTGTTATAGACTTTGAGTATGGATTGATCAAATGACCAATTGGATTACATTTCGAAAGCCTTGAGTGTGTTTGTGTTTATTGAGGGGGAAGAATTGTGTAGATCGCAATTATAGGAATTGTAGGATCAACGACCACACCAAGCATGAGGATGGTCACTTCAGGCGTGGGACTATCAAAGAGGTCTTAAACCTCTCGACATTAGGTGTGAAGTGTTGTGTCTAGTGCCATTTAAGGTTGATTTTACGAGAGAGGGAACGTTAGGTGTGGCCCAGACCACGCCAAGCAAGACTAAGACAAAGAGGTCCTAAACCTCGATCCATAAAGACTTACACTATGATTAATTAATCTAATTTAATACTAAGTAGGAAAAAAATAGAATTATTTGAAGAATGCAATAAAGATAGAGAAACTATTTCAAGTCAATTCTGCAAAAAAATTTCGCAAAGTTATTATTTCGTCTAATCATACAAATTTCTTTTCAAAAGTCTTTAAGAAAATATCATTCATCTTTCTTTTATAACCATATTCCTTACATTTAAAATTTTCTTTTTTCAAAAACATGTTTGTAACCATAAAAAAGAGGGAGATTGTTAGGTCAAAAGATAATCTTAGACATTTTAGGATTTCAAGTTTTAACGTCAACAAACATAGATGTTTTTTTAGAAAAAAAGTTTTGGGAATAAAACACTAAGACAAATTAGGCACTAAGACAATTAAGTTATCTAGCCAAATGAAGTACTTAATTTGAAAGACACATGTTTTGATTTCATATCATTTATAATGTCTAATAATATAATCGTGTGTGTCTATATTATTCCTTAATAAATCAAATGAAAAAGTTTCCTCAATACTCATATTCAACTTAAAAGGAATAAAAGGCATGTTTCACATTATAAAAAGACAAACAAATTTCTTGAATCACATGAAGCACCAAACAAAGTTGTTTAGAACTGCTTTGACCTAACACATGCATGTTTCCACTATTTGGTACCTAAAAGATGATAAGTAGTTTCCTTGATAAGATAAGAAGTAATAATTTGGTTAAATGCATTTAATACACCAATAAACACTTCTCTCCACAAGGAACGAAAATCAAGACAAACGAAGCAAGTCTCTAAGAGATGTTTAAGGATTTGCAACAGTCATTTTCATTATATAATGAAGCAGATTGATTTAAAAAGAAGTAAAATCAATTTTTGAACATATTCATATTCATTCTTCATGTAAATCAACTTTGTATTATACTGATTTATATCATATCTTAAAAGTAAGACAAAATAACATTTTTATATTATCTAACTATAACTTAATGTTATTGTTTTGAGCTTAAAGAGACTTGGTTGTAAAATAATATTTGATTGTTGAAGTCTAGAGAAGTTTTATGTTGAAAAAATACTTAAGTAGTTATTTAAAAAAGTAAATCGAAGAATACTTAAACTTGAACTAGAAGTAATTTAAAAAAAATAATACTTATATATGATGAAACTTGATCTTGTTAGATGAAGAACTGGATATAAATAGTTGACCGAACAATTGAAGCGCAGACGCCATAAGTATCAAGTCTTCTCACTAACTGCAAATTCATTTTTCAATTGAAATTTTGTAAATTAGCATTATTTTATATAGTAGTATTAATTATTGGATTAATTTCATTGTAATTATTTAACCTATACATCATGCATCGATTCTTCAAACATCGTTTTCCTCCTAATTAATGACTCCTAGTTGCCTGTGAAAGAAAGAATTAGAATAT